TATTTTTTTGCCAAGTCCTTCAGAGCAGCCTGAACTTCCTCCTTCATCACCATTGCCTCTTAATGATATGTTATTTCTTTAAATTCTCTCGATCAGTTAATTCTTTTTGGTACAGTGACTCTGTATGCATCTTCCATCTTTTTTTTTAAATGCCAAGGATTTAGTTTTATTTAGTTTAAGAATCAGTGTTCATGAATATTGTTGTTCGGTACCGTTGAGTCATATAGCAACCCTATGAACAACATTCCATCTTCTTTTTTTATTTTATTATTTTTCATCTGTGTACTGTCAAATCAGATTTGACTGGTACAGGAGGAGACTGCCCCTCCTTTTCCAGCAGAGCATCTGGTGGATTCAAACTGTGCACCTCTGGGATTGCAGTGCAGCTTCTTGCCACTAGGCCACCAGAGCTCCCCCATTCCATCTTTTAATGCTTTCTGAATCATTCAATATTCTGCCCGTAGCATCCTTAAGGATTGCAACTTGCTCTTTAGTTCCTTCAGCTTAAGAAATGCAGAGCACAACAAGATAAACAACCCAGTCGCAAAATGGGCATATGAACAGACATACCACCAAAGAAGACATTCAGATGGCGAACAAACACATGAAGAAATGTTCAAAATCCCTAGCTCTAAGAGAGATGCAAATCAAAACAACTATGAGCTATCATCTCACCACAGTAACAGTAGCAAAATTCAACAGCAGGAAACAACAAATGCTGGTGAGGTTGTGGAGAAACTGGAACCCTTATTCACTGTGGGTGGGAGTGTAAAATGGTGAAACCACTATAGAAGGCAGTATGGCACTTTCTCAAAAAGTTGAAAATAAGGGGAGCTCTAGTGGTCTAGTGGCAAGGAGCTGCAACTACAATCCCAGAGGCGCACGGTTCAAATCCACCAGGTGCTCTGCTGGGGAAGAAGGGACAATCTCCTCCTGTACCAGTCAGATCTGATTTGATGGTACACTCACACAAAAATAATAAAATAAAATTTAAAAATTTTTTTAAAAAGTTGAAAATAGACATACCATTTGACCCAGAAATTCCATTACTGAGAATATACCCTAAAGAAACCATAATTGCCACCTAAGCAGATATATGCACACCCATGTTTATTGAGGCTTTGTTCACAGTAGCAAAGATTTGGAAACAACCCAAGTGCCCATCAACAAATGAAAGGATAGAGAAGCTGTGGTATAGTTACACATGGAATACTATTTGTTATTGTTATGTGCCATCAAGTCCTTGTGACTCATAGCGACCCTATGTACAAGAGCTCTAAAAGCCGTTCTATCCTGTGCCAACCTAGCCATCTCAAACGCACTCATTCCCACCACTCCAGTCACAGAATCGATCCATCTCATCGAAGGTCTTCCTCTCCTGCGCTGCCCTTCCACTCTACCAAACATGATGTCTCTCTCCAAAGGACCAGTCCCTCCTTGCAACATGCCCAAAGTATGTCAGACGAAGCTTCAGAATCCTTGTCTCCAGGGAGCATTCCGGCTTCATCCTCTCCAGGACAAACTTGTTTGTTGTTCTCTTAGCAGTCCATGGTATATTCAACACTCTTCTCCAGTACCACAGCTCAAAAGACATCAATTATCTTTCTATCATCCCTATTCACTGTCCAACTCTCTGATGCATAGCACGTAACTGCGAAGACAATAGCCTGGATCAGGAGCACCTTAGTCTCCAGCTTGACGTCGTTGCTCTTCAGTAATCTTGAGAGTTCCCTCACAGCTGACTTTCCCAATGCAATTCGTCTCTTGATTTCCTGGCTGCTGTTGCCAAGAGTGTTGACTGTGGAGCCAAGTAAACTAAAACTGTTAACTATCTCAATCTCTTCATCCATACTGATGCTGCCAGTTGGCTCAGTGATGAGAATCTATTTTCTTTTTTTAAATTTTTTAATTTTATTATTTTTGTGTGCGTGTACCGTCAAATCAGGTCTGACTGGTACAGGAGGAGATTGTCCCTCCTTACCCGGCAGAGCATCTGGTGGATTCAAACCATTCGCTTCTGGGATTGTAGTTGCAGCTCCTTGCCACTAGGCCACCAGAGCTCCCTTAAGAATCTATTTTCTTAATGTTGAGCTTCAATCCATATAAGAGGCTGCAGTCCTTGACCTTCTGCAGCAAGCGCTTCAGGTCCTCCTCAGTTTCAGCAAGCAGGGTTGTGTCTTCTGCATAACACAGGTTGTTTATGACTCTTCCACCAATCTTGATCTCACATTTCTCCTCATACAGAGCAGCGTCTTGGATGATCTGTTCTGCATACAGATTGAAAAGTATGGAGACAGAATACATCCCTGACGGACCCCCTTCTTGATTTTGAACCATGTAGTGTCTCCTTGCTCTGTTCTGATGACTGCCTCTTGGTAACCAAGTATAGGTTTCGCATTAGCAAGGAACTCATGAAATATTATATAAAATGGGTGACCTGGAGAACATTATGTTGAGTGAAATATCTCAGTCACAAAAGGACAAATACTGCATAATGCCATTGTTCTAAAACAGGACTGACATCGGTTTGCGGGGTGGGGGAACTAAGAAAAGAGGATAAATAATGTATACTGCATTGAAACTTATGAGGGAGAGAATTTTTTAAAAGGGATATATAATGAGGCATTATTTGCATCACAGGAGTCCAGAATGAGAGCTGAAAAGTAAAGTGGACTGGAGTGAGGGGATTGTACAACAATGAAAGAATTTTTTTTCTTTTCAAAGAGAAAAGCAAACTAGGGGGAAGAAGTGGGCTGGGAGGGAAATGTGTGCAATAATGAATAAATGGAAATCCAAGTTCTCTATAATCTTTCATTAAAATCTTAATTAAAATAGTTAAATATAAAAAAATGCAGAACAAGTTCCGGTAAGCATAGGAAATGGCAAAGCAACAATTACCTCTTTGCCCCTATTAAGCCTTTATTATCATACTCTATGGCTACAATCTACATTTTGTCCATTGATTTCTGAGTCTTGGGATTCAGGGCGATGGCTCCTCTGGCCACTTCTGGCTGAAAAGGGGCAGCAAGAGGCCTGGGAAAAAGAAACCCACTTTTATGACTAAGGAGATGAAATCTGGTGGAGGTTTTGAAAGTGGAAACTTCATTCTGTCATTTTAGATCCACTGGCAAGTGTCCGTCTCACCTGGGGCAGCAGGACTTTCCACCAACACAAAGACTACACTCACCTTTATGGGTTCCCTGCTCCTTGAACTGCAATTTTAATGCACAAGAGACACAGGAGCCAATGAGAATGGCATTTAAGGCCAAGAGCTCCAATTGGTTTGTCAGAACATTATGGTTTAGTCTCCCCATTCCCTTCAGTGACACCCTGGATCTCATGTCTCACTAGCAGGAAGGGGACACTTTCATTTCCCTGGTAAACCTGTCACAGGCTAGTTTGTCACAGGCCCTGGCCCTGCAAGTGACCCAGCAAGTACTGCGTAATAGAACCAGCAGTCAGGAGAGCAAGCAGGAATGCAGCCACATTCAGCCCTGCAAAAAAATCCTGCTCCGCCCTTGACACAGAGGTTGGTTCTTCAATATAGCATGTTCCCTCAACTGAAAGGTCTCTGAGGGTCCCTGAGGAGACATCACAGCCAAAAAGCCAGACAGGAGGGTCCTGGCCACCCTGCTGCAGGCACTGACCACAGGAGTAACACAGGCCAAGACAGCAACACTGCCCTTTTGCAAAGACCCTGCCACACTCCCCATTTTCAATGACCCCAACCCAACACTACGCATCCTAAAGACCCTAACCCAATATCACCCATTCGCAAAACCCAGCAACATCACCCATTCGCAAAGACCCTAACCCAACATCACCCATTTCCAAAGACCCAGCAACATCACCCATTCCCAAAGCCTCAGAAACCCTGTCCATTCCCAAAAACCCAGCAACTCAACATATCCACAATGATCCACACCCAGGGAAAACTTGCCATCTGGACGGGATGGATGGCAGGGACACCAGGCCCCAGAACTGACTGGCCACTGGCTGCGTCCAGGGCCTCTACCTCTTTTTTTCTTGAGGCCTAAGCATGGGATGTCCATGGGTTGTCTGTTTGGCACACAGGTACAACACCAATGTGTTGCTCTGGCACACTTCCCACCTTGGGCAATGGTCAGTGTCCAGACCATTGGCTGCGCAGGACAGCCTTCCCCACCTGGTGGTTTCAGCCATTAACACCTGTGAGCTCTTCCTGCTTGTCCTCCAAGGCCTGTTTCAGGGCTTCAGCTCATCATTTTACTCTGGTGATGAACTACAGGGAAGGAGGTAGGTGAGGGGCTTGGCTATGAGACATCACCACTTTGAAACACTATGAACAACAATGGAATGTCCCTTCCTTCACTTCCTGAAGACCCCCACTATAAAAAAAAAAAAAGAAACACTATGAACAGACAATGTTTCCTTTTTCCTCTATACACTCATCTTCCTTGGGACTAAGGAGTATAAAGTTCACAAGGTCTCAGATCTTCTAAAGCTTGTTACCTGCCTTCAAGTGTCATCTCTAGTCTTTCATATTCTAGCACAGCAAACTTTCTACTTTAAGACAAAACTGCATCTTTCTGATTACTTACTCATAGCCTTATTGTCTTCGCATTGGCCCAAGGGGCCCACACAACCTTCTCTGTCTCCCACAGAGGCTGTCTGGGCTCTAGGCTTGACATTCTAATATGAAGGGGACTTGCCTACAGACCCAACAGCTGCCTTTGTGGTGGGGCCACTTCAGAGCTGAGCCCACTCTAGAAGTGCTGGCAGATCCAGCGGGGAGAACAGAACAGGACACACTTATAAATGGGAAGACAGGTGGGAGGTAGGACCCGGGGGGGGTCTTCCTTCCAACTGGCATCACCCTGGTGGCTTCCTCCTGCAGTGAGAACACCGGCACCTTGGTCATTCTCCTATAGAACGTAGCTCATGTGCTGTCCCGGGGAGGTCACCGCTCGTCTTGCCATGTGACAAGGAAGCAGATCCTTGTTCCTTCTTGTGTGATTACCATGGACCCTGCCCCAGTGAAGCCTGACTCTGCAGGCCCTCCACACAGCAGCACGGTGAGTGTCCGTGATCCTCTGCCTTTACAGGGACTGCAATGGGATGACCCTCAAATGCCCACAGCTGGTTCCACCTCCTAGTGCCAGTCCTGAGGCATCTGACAACTACACAGTTTTGCCCAGCAGTGCCTTGAGCAGGTACCCCTCCAGAACCTGCGATGGTATTCATTCCTTGTGGGGGAGCTCCATGTCTGGTACATAAGGGAAAAGAGTCCTCAGTGGCTGTTGGGTTTTCCACCCTCAGAGCCTCAGGCAGCACCAAGTTCACTCCTGTCAGGGACATTTTGCCAGGCTGTATTGCTGACAGCTAACTCAAAGCCCATGGTCAAATGTCTACACAAAGGTCAGGGCTGGGCTCAGTGTGGCGACCTTTAACTCAACCCAGCACTGCTTTGCCCTGAGTCACTTTGAGGTACCCCAGCTAGAGCCATCTGTGTGCCAGGCCCCTACGGCCACAGACCCTTCCAATCAGCAGAGGGGTTGTCCTGACCTGTATATGAAGTCTTCCCTGTTAGACTCAGGATTTTCACCTGCATGACCAACTCATTCCTCAAAAGCTTTCTGTTCTTCCTTAGCTCAGGAGAGGCTGCAGTTAACTATTGTGCTATGTTGTTGTTGCGTACTGCTGAGTTGGAACCGACCCATAGCTGACCCTCCAGCGGGTTTTCAGAGGCCGTGAATAACACAGGAGACTGTTCATCTTCTTTCTAAGGAGCAGTCGGTGGATTTGAACCGCATGTCTTTGGGTTGGCAGCGCAGCTCCTTACCAGCAAGCCATACGAGCTCCCTTCTGTTGCTGTTGCTAGGTGCTGCCAAGTTGGGTACGACTCACAGCGACCATGTGAACAATGGACCTGAGCCCTGTCCTGCGCCCTGACAGCCTCACAATCTCCGACACACTCAAGCCCACTGCTGCAGTCATGGTGTCAACCCACCTGGCTGAGGCTCCTCCTCTCTGGTGCCACCCGTCCTCCTTTCCAAGACGTCACCTTCCAAGCAACAGCCCCTCCTAGCATCGTGCCTAACGTATATGAGAAAAGCTTCGCCATCCTTGTCTCCAAGGAGCACTCTGGCTGCACCTTCTCCAAGACAGATCTGCATGTTCTTTCTAAACCATTATGTTTAGTGTCTACAAAACCTGTTGTTGAGAAGATTCTGACCAAGCATAAATATGGATCTCCAGAGCTGACAGGACCATCAGCAGATCACATTCATGGACAAACACATGCACTGACAACATTGCAAAGATATCAAGATGAAAGTTAAGTAACACAAAGTTCTGCTAATCAAAGACAATTTACAGGCTTAAAGAACACAATGACACATTTCAGCTCACCATGGTAGTAAGGGTGCACTCCTCAAAATCCACGTTTACAATCCTGAGGTGCGTGGTTTGAATCCACCAGATGCTCTGCTGGAGAAGGAGGGGAAATCTCCTTCCGTGCCAGTTGGATCCGATTTGATGGTACACAAGAAGCGGGGGGGGGGGGGAGAATTCTCCTTCCAGTGCTTGGAGCACACTACCACCAAGAAAAGGGAAGACAGAGAAGGCACAGAATGAGAATGGAAATGAGAATCACAGGGAAGAAGTGAGATTTCATTCTGTCTGATCTGTCGTTGTCAGGGTGTCTATGAGTCACAACCAACTTAATACCTCACAATAAATTAATGGTCTAGGACAAAATACGTACATGAGTGAATGAAAAACTAATTTGCTCTGTGACTTTCACTCAAAACACATTAAAAAAAACCAAGAGGGGGTAAAATTTTCAACAATGAATGAATGAAAATATAATTTTTCTGTAAACTTTTATTAAAATGATAATTAAAATAAAAAAATCATAATAAAAATAAAATGGCTGGCATTTTAAAAATTAAAAAACAACAACAACAACAAACAAAGCCAACCCAACCAAACACAAAACAACAAGCAAACACCTCACTTAAAATATTTGGGAAATTATGCCCATTGCAGTTATTCAAAGTGGACATTTCTGCAGTCATCTTAAACATGGGGGCTTCTCACTTTTCACAAACTAATTCTCTTGAGTACTGAGGATGTCATAACCCTGCTTGCTGAAACTGAGGAGGACCTGAAGTGCTTGCTGCAGAAGGCCAAGGGCTGCAGTCTTTAACATGAATTGAAGCTGAACATCAAAAAAACAAAGATTCTCACCACTGGGCTGATTGGCAGCACCATGATAGAGAGTAAAGAGACTGAGATTGTTAACAGCTTCAGTTTGTTTGGCTCCACTCTTGGTACCAGCAGCCAGAAAATCAAAAAACAAATTGCGCAGCAAAAGTCTGCTGTCTGGGACTCTCCAGAGTACTGAAGAGCAACAATGTCAGTCTGGAGACTAAGGTGAGCCTGATCCAGGCCATCGTCTTTGCAATTACTTGTTATGCACCAGAAAGCTGGACAATGACTAGGGATGATAGAAGGAGAATTGATGCCTTTGAGTTTCGGTGCTGGAGAAGAGTATTGAATACACTATAGATTGGTAGGAGAACAGACAGGTTCATCCTGGAGAGAGTGAGACCAGGCTGCTTCTTGGAAGCAAGGATTCTGAGGCTTCGTCTGACATACTCTGGGCATGGTGCAAGGAGGGATCAGTCCTTGGAGAGGAATACCATGCTTGGGAGGGTAGAGGGACAGCACAAGAGAGGAAGACCCTCGATAAGATGGATTGACTCTGAATGGGGTAATGGTGGTAGGTGTGTCAAAGACAATAAAATTGGCTCAGGATAGAGCAGGGTTCAGAGCTGCTGTACATACGGTTGCTATGAGTCGCAAGTGACCCGACAGCACTTGACAACAATAGCAACATGGATGTCAAGAACTGTGATGATCACGGGTCTTGCTGTCCCATTCTGTAGTCTTCCTGTGATAAATTTTGTAAACAGATTGCTTTTTTAAAAAATTAAATTGGATCATACTATATTTTTGTATATCAAAAGGAGCTATTCTTGGGAAGAGACATTATACTGGGAAAGATGGATGGTCAGAGAAAGAGAGGAAGACCAACCGTTTACCAGATGACACAGTGACCACAGCAATGGGCCTAAGTATATCAGAAATGGTGAGGACGGCACAGGCTAGGGCATGGTTCTGATTTTCTGCTGTTCACAGGGTCACTGTGAGTATACCCGCCTTTACAGCACCTAACTAGAACTACTTCTGTGCTCAAAAGCCCCATGTTTCCCATTCTCCTGACACAAAGGTCAGATGTGCCAAAAGGCTGCCGCGGGACAGGTCTTGGTGTCTCTTCCTCTCCTCTTTCCCAGGCCTTCAATGAGCCAGGTTCCCTTCCCAGGGTGCTGCCCTGGCGCCTCCTCAGTGCTCATCCATATCTTGATCCTTCGCTGTCTTTTCAGCAGGTGCAGCTGCTCTTGGCTGAGCATATACCACGTGGGGACCCACAGTCAGGTGCACACACCCCTTGGCTGGGATCTCTGCTCCTGCTGTTCACAGCGGCTGCTCAGTACACGCTTCCTGATGAGAGAACAGACCGTTATAAACACAGGCCTGATTTCTGGCCTTTCAGAGGCTCCCTCCAGGGAGGTCAAGCTGTCATGGATTGAAGTGTTAACTTGGTGATGCTGTGATTCCCATGGGTGATAAATCCTGACCTTTGTGATGCTGATGAGGCAGGATCAGAGGTGGCTGTGGTATGAGGGGGTCGTCACTTTCCATGATGAGATCTGAGAAGTCTTCAGTGATCAGTTGTAGGGAGAGACTGGGGTCATGCTACATCCCTGATCTGATGTGGAGACTTTCCTCCATCACCTTTCATCTTAGAAGAGAGAAAAAGAGGGGAGCTCTGGTGGCCTAGTGGCAAGGAGCTGCAATTACAATCCCAGAGGCACATGGTTCGAATCCACCAGATGCTCTGCCGGGAAAAGGAGGGACAATCTCCTCCTGTACCAGTCAGATCTGATTTGACGGTACACTCACACGCACACACACACAAAAAAAAGAAAAAAAAAAGGAGAGAAAAGGGAGAAGTGAGCAGAGAGAAGGGGTCCTCAGGCCCACTGAGAAAAAGAGACAGCAGGGGGGTGTGCCTTGGACACAGGCCCCTGTGCTGGGGAGCTCCCACCATGCGAGTCTTCAAGTAATCCTAGGACAGCAGATGCCAAAGGAGATGGGCACTTCTTCCAGAAGTCACAGAGGGCTTCCTCAAGAGCTGGCAGCCTGGACCTGGACTCTAGCTTCCTGAACAGTGAGAAAGTGAGCTTCTGTTTGACGGTGTCACTCTCTTGCAGCACCACTGCTATAGCAGCACTGACAAACACCAGGCAGACCTTCATCACTGCAGCTTCCTCTAATTTCTCCTCCTTCAGAGTGATTCCACGTGCAGTGACTCCACAGAGGGCTGGCCTGCTCCCTGTCCAGGGATCATTCCCCTTCTACAGCAATGCCTGCCCTGTGTCTCCAGAACATGGCTGTCCCAGAGCAAGCCCCTCTTCTTTCTGGAACCTTCCCTGACTGGCCCAGCACGTGGTGATCACTCTCCTGCTCTGAAGTCTTATATGCCTGAGCCTCTTGCACCTGCACAGGTCCTGGCACCACCTGTCTTTCTAGAGAGATGCCTTATGCTGCCACTATAAGGACATCACATAGACATGGCAGGAAAGAGGTCCTGCCACTGGGAACACCTGTTGCAGATGCCAGCACGTGGACAAGAAATGAACTCCACCAAGAGCCTGCTGCTCTGCGGAAGGATGGGCAACCTTCTCCTGTGGGATTCCAGCCCTTGAAAACCTCCTGGGGGGGGGGGGAGAGCAGCTGTGAGACAGTTCTGACCTGATGGCAGTGAGCTAGTTTGTTATGTACCTGCATGAACTGTAACAAGCTCCATGTGCTCCACCAGCCAGTCAGAATTGCCAGTGTGAGGGGTTTCTGTTCCCGGACAGTTGCTGTGCATCCAGGACTAGCAGCACTGAGCCAGGTCAAGACCCAGACCTTCACGTCACTGGGAGCACACGGGGCCCCAGAAGCTTCGGACACGTGACTCTCTACACACTGGAAGCAGGACCCTCGCCCATTGATGCGTTGTCACTTGCTCCTTCTCTCACTTACCTGAAACCTAGGAGCTCTCTCATGTGAGCATTTTACAATCTTCTTGTTTTGGAAGTTCTGTCATATATAGGGTTCAAAAACAGTTGAAGCTCTTGGGAATTTAAGCTGTCACTATAAACACACACAGCAGGTAAGTCCATTTCTTCTAGGAAGTCTGTGCACACAGATTAGGAAGCCATGGTATAGAAAGAGCTGCAGCTCTCAGTGGCCCACTGTTCCTCACCTACTACTCTCTTAAGCAAGTGCAGCTTTAATGTGGGTGATATTTTTGTGGTGAGTTTATTGTTCAAGGAGTGTTGGTGGCTAGTGTGTAACTTGTCATACTTTTAAGATCAGTGGCCCGAAACCACGAGCTATTCTGAGGGAGAAAGAGGGGAGTCTCCTCCCTAAAAGGCTGGTGCAGGGCTCTGAGATCGTCAGTTTGAGTTTTTGGAAGCCACTGCTCCAACAAATGGCATTCCCTCTGTCCAGACACTTTCCATTTTATAACTGAAATAATGTCATAACGTTCACCAAGGAGTCCTGGTGGCACAGTGGTCAAGTGCTGAGCTGCTTGCTCAAAGGCTGGCAGCTTGAGCTTCACAGTCGCTGACCGTGCAAGGCAGGCATGGTGCCGGGAGCTCGATCCTTCCGAGAGAGGGAGTGGGCAGCTCGGCTGTCCTTCAGGTCGCCTGAGCCTGAACAGACCTGGGGATGGTGGGTTTGGCTCCTGCCCACCCCGCCTGCAGGAGCGTGTTCTCAGTCACCGCCTGTGCTTCCCCATCTCAGGCGGCACGCTTAGGGACACCACGAGGACGCTGGACTTTTTAATATGTAGAAGCTGCCCTGACCAGTAAAGCCCTCTCGCCATTCATCCTCTCTATTTTCAGGGGGAAAGCTGCTAAGGTTGGATGATGTAAGACAATCATCTCGCTGATGCTCGGCTGGGGCGGTTTCACACGGCGAGGACGGCGGGCACAGGGCTGTCCAGCGCCCACTGGACACAGCATCACGTCCTGCTGTCTCTCCCCAAGCCCCGACTGGCCACACTCGGGTGGCTGGCCATCCGCCGGCAGGGCCAGTGCCCCGCAGGGGCCTTGCCAGCACCGGCCGGAGCAGGCCGCGCGCTCCAGGCCTCAGGGCCCAGGCCCACGCTGCCCACTGTCCAGGCGCCCGCCGTGGCCGCCGTGCTCGCGCC